CCAGGAGCGCCTGGGTGACTCAGTGGGTTAAGCCTCTGCTTTCAGCTCAGGCCATATCTCCGGGTCCTTGGATCGAGCCCCGGGTCGGGCTCTCTGCTCAGCAGGGAGCCTGCTTCCTCCTTTCTCCCTGCCTGCCTCTCTGTCTACTTGTGATCTCTCTCTCTGTCAAATAAATAAATAAAATCTTAAAAGAAAAAAAAAAAGGAAAGAAACACACACTCTAGAGAACAGAGATAAAGTCATGAAGAGTCAGGAACTTTCCATCTCAGTAAAGGTAGTTTCACCAGTCACACCTGTGCTCGTCACTTCTCCAAAGTGAAAGACAAATTGCTGCATCATGCGTCCCCTACTCTGAAGAGGGAAACGTCAGGACTGATCTGGTTCTGGAAACAGCATATTCCACAATTAGGACTATTATCTAGCCCGTACACCAGGTAACCTGGGAGGCCAGGTTTAAGTGGGGCTGGTGGAAGAAAGAGCTCAGCAGCAGGAAAGAGGCAGGATGGAGAGGATGGCAAGCCCAAGAGAAATAATCACAACGCTAGGCCTCTGGGATTCTGGAACAAAGTCGTGTCATCCACAACAGAGAATGACTGTGATGGTTAATTTTCTGTCACCTTGACTGGGCCATGAGGTGCCCAGATATTTAGCCAGACATTATTCCAGGTACTTCTGTGAGGGCGTTTTGGGATAAGATCAACATTTAAGTTGTAGAAGGACTGAAGCCAATTGTTCTCCCTGGTGTTTGGTGGGTCCCATCTAATCAGTTGACGGCCTGGCTGTCATGAAAGAGCTGATCCTCCCCTGAGTAAGAGATAGTTCATCTTCTCTGACTGCCTTTGAACTGAGACATCAGCTTTTTTCCTGCTTTCAGGCTTAAACTGAAATATTGGTTATTATTGGGTCTCGAGCCTGCCAGCCTTTGAATTAAAACTACACATTATCTCTCCTGGTTCTCAGGCCTTTGGACTTGGACACAGACATATACCATCAGTTCTCTCGGATCTCCAACTTCCCACTCACCCTGCAGATCTTGGGATTTGCCTGCCTGCATAGTCATGTGAGTCAATTCCCCATAATAAATCTTTTCCCGTGTATAAATATATATATATACATTCTGTTGGTTCTGTTTCTCTGGAGAACCCTGACTCATACAATTATGCATCTTTTAAAAAGCAGCTGTTGACATGCTTCTAAGGCCTGGTAGAGATAAAACTGTTGGTTGCCAAGTAATCATGGCTCTGGAACTGCATTCTTAACTGGTTCTGCCAGACCTACCATGTCCTAAGGTTGGACAAGCTTAAGAGCAATCCATTATGAAATGGAAATGGTACATCCAAGATAAGTCCAAGCAAGACTTGATGACACAAGTAAGCTGCACATGATCACAACCCCTCCTTCCACTCATATCTAGGGTTATGTGGAGGTCTCTTATGACCTACAGAATCAGGTGGAAAAAAAGCCCAACCTGAGTTTTTGGATGAGTGCGCTCAGAATAAGGATGCAACCTGAAAACGGATAATGACTGCATCATAACCATACTCAGGGGTGGCCTTGAAAAATGGTGACAATGGAAAAATCTTTGCAATAAACAAAGTCCAAGTTATGTCTTTCGGGCTCCAAGAGCCTCTGCCAACACCACTGTCCTGGAGCTTCTAGGATGCCTTATCTACAGATACGTATTCCCACCAACATAGTGGTTATCCCATATCACACCAACCAGAAGCAAGCTGTCCTCATGGAGAGTAGGAATGAGGTACTGAAGGCACAGCTGAAACTGTCAGCTTGGAGGCCACAGTCTGCAAGATGGGGTCATCTATAAGGACACAGTATATGTATACACACACACACACACACACACACACACACACACAGCTGTCTACATGGCACTGTGTCTCCAAGTAGTAAGAATACACATGGTTTTAGCAATCAAGCGGTGGTAGCAGAAGTGGTCTCACTTATTATCACTCCTAATGACCCACTAGGGACTTTATTCCTCCTGTCCCTAGAACTCTGGGCTCTGCCGAGTTGGAGGTCCTGGTCCCCAAGCAAGTGAATTTTTTCTTTAGACAAGGATCCCACTGAAACAACGGTCATGGCTGCCATCAGGATACTGTAGATTCCTTGCATTCAGAGACCAGTAGGCAAGAAATCTCTAACCTGCCAGGGAAATTGACCCTGATTATCAGGAAAAGTGTGAGGTGTCTTCTCAAAACTGTACAATGGCACTGCCTTTCACTTAGGGTAATAGTTTACCATATCCTCCATCATCTGGTCCTCTGCTACCTTTCTGATCTCCTTTCCTTATTATCTTCCCTTTGTTCACTCTGTTGTAGCCACGGTAACTTCTTTGCTGCTTAGTAAACAGACACACTTTCCAGAAGAGGGTTTTTTCATCCAGCTTCATTAGATAAAAGGGGCAAGAAGACCCCCAGAAGTACCTCAAATGGGAGCTAGAGGGTGGGAGAGATTCTCGATAAAATGCCCTTTTTTACACAGAGTTGATTGGTGAATTGTATGTTTATCTCTAATTTCTAGCTTAAGTGCCCTCAACTAGGGATTTCTCATCAATATTTTCCACTTACTCCTTGATTGGTGACCTGTAAGAAATTATTCAACAGCTTGAGAGAGAAGGTTGATACTTCCTGGAGAAACTACAAAGTTTTTGTCTTGGATAATGATTGCTAATAATAGCAAAGGTTTTTGTTTGTTTGTTTTTGTTTTTTTTTTGGTTGGTATTATGCAATTCCAAGCACTGGGCTAAGCCTTTTACATTCTTTAACTCATTTAATCATTATAAAATCTCTAAGAAGGTGGTATTATTATCCCTATTTCACATATAAAGAAAGAGAGGGTCAGAAAGATGAAGTCATTTACCTCTATCATACCTCTTGCAAGTGGACAGCTTTAAACACAGCTCTTTCTAAGCTTAAACCTATATTATTTTCTCAACCATTTGCTTCCCTTTAAGAGAAAGAGGTCATGATTACTGCCATTAGTTCATTTGTCCATTAATTCAATAAGTGTTCACTTGAGTGTTTATTATGTGTTAGGCTTTGGTCTAATTTTGCTGATTCAGTGGTGAAAATTGGCAGAATCCTTGCCTTGATGGAGGTCATACCCTAATGGCTTAGTAGGATCACGAGTCTAAGGTGTTCAGTTCTCAGAAGGGCAACCGACACAGCATGTGCTGAGACTGAACATTTGCAGAGAAACCTATAACTGTCTTTGACCTAGACCCTGGAGTCTAAATTGTCCATAGCAAATATGTAACTGTAGTTAAAACAATGACCTTTTAGCTTCACCAACTGTGAAATGGGTATGATAATAGTAGGTTGCTTGCCAAGTGGTTAAAATCTCAAACAAGAAAATGTGTGAAAACTCTTGGAAAACTGTGAAATAGTCAACAAGGAGGAAAGGATTTTGTTATATTCATTATTTATTTATTTATTTATAAAAATATTTTATTTATTTATTTGACAGGCAGAGAGGCAGGCAGAGAGAGAGGAGGAAGCAGGCTCCCCGCTGAGCAGAGAGCCTGACTGGGGCCTCCATCCCAGGACCGTGGGATCATGACCTGAGCGGAAGGCAGAGGCTTTAACCCACTGAGCCACCCAGGTGCCCCTATATCATTATTTTAAAATTGCAAACATAAAGTAGAGAGAATAGTATAACAAACACCCAGATACCCATAAACCAGTTTCAACAATTGTCAAATCAAGGCCAATCCTGTTTCATCTCTAGCCTCCCCCACCCTCCCATCACCCACTTTTTGGAAGCAAAGACTTGACAGCATATCTTTTTATCCATATATATATATATTCCAACACATATATTTCAAAGAAAGGAATTATTATTTTTTAAAATTTTATTTATTTATTTGAGAGAGAGAGAGAGAGCAAGCGAGCGTGTGAACAGGAGCAGGAGGACGGGTTGAGGGAGAAGACGACTCCCTGCTGAGCAGGGAGCCCCATGTGGGGCTTGATTCCAGGACCCTGAGATCATGACCTGAGCAGAAGACCGTCATTTTACCGACTGAGCCACCCAGACACCGCAGGTAGGGATTCTTTTAAAAAACATTACCACCGGGTGCCGGGTTAAAAAAAAAACCAACAACAGATACTGCTATATCTCTCCTCACAGATTCTGATTGAGTACTTCATTTTTTTTTTTAAAGATTTATTTATTTGCAAGAAAGACAGAGAGGGGAAAAAAAAAAAAAAAGATAGAGAGAACGAGCAGGGGGAGGGGCAGAGGGAGAAGCGGACTTCCCATTGAGAAGGGAGACCAAAGTGGGGCTCAATCCCAGGACCCTGGGATCACGACCTGAGCCAAAGACAGAGGCTTAACCCGCTGAGCCACGGAAGCACTCCAAGTACTGGATTTCTAACATGTTCTGGATGATGCTGATGCTCGCTGGTCTGGGACTGTTTGAGGGCCACTGTTGTATCTATCCCAGCTCTACCCAGGATTTCCCTAATTGTATCCTTTGGAGAAGTCTTTCAACACGTTCATCTTCCCCTTATTTCTTGTTAAGGCAAGCTCATTTAATTGCTTACAGTACAGCATAATGGCCAAACTCAGGTTTTAAGTTAGATTCCCTGGGTTTAAATCTCGTTTTTGACATTTATTTGCTATGTGACCTTGGGCAAGTCATTTAACTGCTTGGTGAACCCAATATTACAAGGTCCTTGTGAGGCTTAATGAGATTTCAAAAATTTAAGTGTTTGCTTAGCATATTGCCTAGCATTTAGCAAATGCTCAACAAATTCGATTATCGTTTTTCAACCAAGAAATAAAAATGGGGCTCACAACCATTTGGAGGTCCTTGAGTTTTGTAGGGTTTTGTGTTTTAAAGTCAGCGAAGCAAGGTGAGGTGCTCTAAAGGAGAGGTACGTAGAAAAAATTGGAGAGAGCAACTCCAAAGCTACCTCAAAAATCATCCCAGGGTTGGGCCCTTTAAGGAGGGCGGAGCCACGTGATCTGGCGGGTCACATGGCTCCTGGGCCAACATGGCTGCGCCCTCAGTAGGGCCAGCTGGTGGGTGCTGCCTCCGGCTCGGTTTCCTCCTATTGCTGCCGTTGCTCTTGCTGCCCCGCGAGGCGGCTGGGGACGAAGAGGCCAGTACGGGCCCGGGCGCGGCTTCCCTCGCGGGCTCCTGCGGCTGTGGCACTCCCCAGCGGCGCGGGGACCATGGCGCCTCGGCGGCGGCGCACCGATACTCGCGGGAAGCGAACGCCCCCGGCCAGGTCCCGGGAGAGCGGCCGCTCGCGCCCACCAAGGTGCTGTCTTGATTCCCTGAAGGCGGGTGGAGTCCGCGGGGTTCTTGAACAGGGTGGGATGGGCAAGGCAAGCGGTTTGCAGGAAGGCAAGTAAAGATTATAACCACACCGCAAATTGGGCACATGCTGATCCGACTTGACGAAGAGTTCCTCTCCTGTCTTTGCCTCCAAAATTCGCGGGTTGTTGGGGCTCAACTTAATCCTGCACATTAGGGAATTTGGTTTGAGAACAGTTGACCCTCCTTTTCTTACCTCCAACAACTTATTTCCTCCTCGCTCCACCCTAATTTCCTCCTCACTCCACCCTCACTCCACTCCCTTCCTCCTGAGGTGTTCGGGCTTTTAATTTTAGGGCTTATAGATTCCTTAGTCTTGGGTTCCTGTCGTAACTATGAAGGAATCAGGACAGTGGGTCTCTGTGTCTTTAAAATTCTGGTATTTTAATCGATGGACTCTCCTAGTAGACTTTCTTGAGGGCAAGAACTTGTCCTATTTATTTTGGTGTCCTTAGTACTTTAGCACACAGGAAGGACCAAGTCAACTCTAGTTGCTTTATTAGTGCTATTTATCCGTGCCTTTTATAGTGCACGGATGTGTTAACTGTTAGCCTACATAAATAATAACATGAGTAATAATGATTACTCCATTCTTTCCAGGTACTTTGCATATTGGTATGGTTGTGGAAAAAATTTAGGGGGACTAGAACCAAGTTTGACTCCTAAAGTAGTGCTTCTCCTTGTATACTGAGTACATTCTTTCCTTATTTCTTTAATCCCACTTTTCTTTCCTGTGGCTTAATTCTGAACAATATTCAGGGCTTAGGTGAGAGGTATGTCCTCCAGCAGACCGTACCTGACTTCTTTCTTTTTCTTTCCCTGAAGTATTTCCATATGCCGCCACCACAGTAGCTCTTTGCTCTGACATTACAATTACCAAAGATACTTGTCTCCGGTTTCTTTCCCTAAATAGGGAGTGAGGGTGGTAGGGGTTAGGACTATAACTTTGTGTCTCTAGTATAGTGTTAGGGAATTGGTGGCTGGGCTTCTCTTTGTTTCTCCATTTTGTGTAATTTTGGCCTTTTAAATTTTTCTTGACCCTCAGAGGATGCGCTGCATTATTAGTGTTTATCTTTTGTGTGGTGGGAACCCTGGTTATTTTTGTAGTGTGTATTGACCATACATGATTTTAATTCCTTTCTACCTTTTGTGATATTGGATAATCATGTCCTTCCTTCAAAAGAAAGAAGCCCTGTGTCTTGTTTAGCTACTTGGTAACTAACAGGTGGATGTCTTTTTTTTTTTGAGAGAGAGAGCAAGAGAGCGAGCACAGGCAGACAGAGTGGCAGGCAGAGGCAGAGGGAGAAGCAGGCTCCCTGCCGAGCAAGGAGCCCGATGTGGGACTCGATCCCAGGACGCTGGGATCATGACCTGAGTTGAAGGCAGCTGCCCAACCAACTGAGCCACCCAGGTGTCCCCAGGGTGGATGTCATATTGCATTTACACATTGATCTGTATCAAATTTTTCCCTAGAACCTTTTGGCCAGTACAGAACATTCTGCATTTTAAATGCTCTAACTTTTGATTTCAGAATGAGATGTGGGTGCCAGTATCTTTTTAATTACATTTATAAGATACACATTTTTTCCATTTCTTCAGAGTGGTTTTGTGTCTAGACTAGGTATTGTATGGGTCATTTTTGACCAGTTTTTGCATTTTCTTCCTTTCTCCCTCCCTCCCTTACTTCCTTCTTTATATGTTTTTATTTTGTTCTCATTTTCACTTGAATGCACTTTCTATAATGTTTGGAGGCATCCCATGCTATTAGTAAACTAGCAATTGCTGAGAACACAGATCACAAGCCTTCAAGGACTCAACTTAATGACTGAACCCCAAGTAGCCTTGTTGTCAAGACAAAAGACTTCATAAAAGGATTTCCTTGGTTTTAAGTTTTTTGGTACATGTGTAATGACTTTGGTCTAATTCTGACACTTAGACATTTATTCTGAATTCAAGAAGTTCAATATTACAGGAGAGGTGCATGGTTGTAGTGATAGTGCTTTTTTCCTTAAATCTTTAAAAAAATTTTTTTCTTCTTTTTTTTAAGACTTAATTTTTAGAGGATTTTTAGGTTCACAACAAAATGTAGAGGAAGGTGCAGAAATCTCCCATAATACCCCTGCCCCCACACAGTGCACAGTCTCCACTGTTGTCAATATACTCCACCAGAATAGTACATTTGTTACTGTTGATGAGTCTATATTAATGCATCATAATTACCAGAGTCCATAGTTTTCCTTAAGTTTCACTCTTGGTGTACATTCTGTGAGTTTGGACAAGTGTACAATGATGTATAGCCATCATTATAATACCATATAGTATAGTATTTTCATTCCCCTAAAAGTCCTTTGTGTCCCTCTCTTCATTCCTCCCCTTGGTCCCCACTAGCGATGTCTGATCTGTTTGTTTTTTTAAGGTTATTTATTTATTTATTTGACAGAGAGACATCACACGTAGGCAGAGAGGCAGGCAGAGAGAGAGGGGGAAGCAGGCTCCCCACTGAGTAGAGAGCCCAATGCGGGACTCGATCCCAGGACCCTGAGATCATGACCCAAGCTGAAGGCAGTGGCTTAACCCAGTGAGCCACCTAGGCTTCCCTGTTTTTTTGTTTTTTGTTTTTAAAATTATTTATTTATTTATTTTGGAGAGAGAGAGACACGTGATTGCTGGAGGGGGGGCAGACTCCCAGTTCAGCATGGAGCCTGAAGCATGGCTGATCTCACAACCCTGAGATCATGACCTGAGTGGAAATCAAGAGTCAGGCGCTTAACCAACTGAGCCACCCAGGCACCCCTTCTTTCCTTGGTAATATGTACTTAAGATTCTTCCATGTCTTTTAATTGCTTACCTGCTAATTTCTTTTTAGTTCTGAATAATATCCATTGTCTGGATGTGCCACGGTTTATTTATCTACTCACCTACTGAAGGGTATCCTGCTTGTTTCTAAGTTTTGGCAGATAGGAATAAAGCTGCTGTCATCACTTGTATGTAGATTTGCTTATGGGTATTTGGATAAGTACCAGATATTTTTATAAATACCAAGGAACACAATTGCTGTGACATGGCAAGAGTATGCTCAGTTTTTTAAGAAACTGCAAAATTGTCTGTATACTGCAAAACTGTCTTCCAAAGCAGTTTTACCATTTTGCATTCCTACTAGCAATGTATGAGAGTTACTGTTGCTCCACACCATCACCAGCATTTGCTGTTGTCACTGTTCCAGATTTTGGCCATTCTAAGATGTGTAGTGGTATCTCACTGTTGTTTTAGTTTGCATTTTTTGCTTGATATACAATGAGCGTCTTTGCCATCTGTGTATCTTTGGTGAGGTATGTTAAGGTCTTTGGCCCATTTTAAATCAAACTGTTTTGGTTTCTTACTATTGAATTTCGAGAGTTCTTTGTATTGGATAACAGTCCTTTATCAGATGTCTCATCTGAAAATTTCTCTCAGTCTGACTTGTCTCCTCATTCTCTTGACATTCTCTTTTCAAGAGCAGAAATTTTTTATTTTAATTAAGCCTTGTTTAGCAATTTCTTTTGTGGATGTTGCTTTTGATGTTGTTTGTAAAAAGTCATCACCATACCCCTTGTCATCTGGGTCTCTTCCTATGTTATCTTCTAAGAGTTTTACCATTTTGCATTTTATATTTAGGTCTGATCCATTTTGAGTTAATTTTTGTGAAGGGTGGAAGGTCTGTGTCTATTATTATTATTTTTTTAAATATGTGGATATCCATTTTGTTTTGGCATCATTTGTTGAAGAGACGGTCTTTGTTCCACTCTATTGCCTTAGCACCCTTGTGTTGAAGATCAGTTGATTATATTTATGGAGGTCTTTTTCTGGGCTCTCTGCGCTGTTTCATTGATCTTTTAGTTCTTTTACCAGCACACTGTCTTGATTACTGTTAGATTTACAGTAACTCTTCAGGTTGTAGCATCAGTCCTCTAACATCGTTTTTTTCCCCTCCAGTATTGTCTTGGCCATTCTGGGTCTTTTGCCTGTTTATATATGCATAGAATCAGTTTGTTGATATCCATAAAATAACTTTCTGAGATTTGGATTGGGGTTGTATGAAATCTTTTTTTTTGTTGTTTTCTGTTTATTTAGTTTAGTATAACACATGTTTATTTGGTGTACAAATATTATAGCACTGTCCTATGTCTTGGATATAAGGAAGAGAAAAAGACAAATGCCCTACCCTCAAGACATTTGCCATCTACCTTCTGGTAGGCATATGTTCTCTCATGGTATGTGTCTCTCCCTTCCTTACTCCCTCCCTCTCTCTCCTTCCTCTGTCTCTCTCTCTCCCCCTGTCTCCCTTCCCCTCCATGCACAATCACCTATAAGGATCATTTTTCCATAGTGACGGTACTACAGGAGGAGTTGAACAAAGCACTTGGAGAGGAAAAAATGATTCATTTGTCCTGTATAAATTAGGAAGTGGTTCAAAGAAAAGGTCACATTAGAGCTAGGGCTTGAAGGAGACATTTTCAGAAGCTAGGGATAGAAGGACAGACTGAAGGACATTCCAAGAATGGGAATAGCATGGGCACAAACAAAGCATTGTACAAGTGCATGATGTGTTCTGGGAAATGTTAGTAATTTAAGGTTTCTGGGGGGTGACACTTTTCACACTTTTTAATGTAACACTTTTCAACTGTGAGTCTTTTTTTGTATTTTAATTCATTTAATGAGCACTTGGCAAGATGAGGTACACAAAGAAATAAATAGCATTGGGCTTTACCCTCAAGAATTTACAGTTTCACTGGAAAGTTACAGCAGTAAAAATTGTATGGGAAACAGTTTAGATGTTTTAAAATTTTACTCAAGTTCCTTCTAGTTTATATATATATATTTATGTATGTAATTCTCAATGGGAAAATTATCCTAGCAGTTTCTGCACAGGTTATTTTATACAAGGTAGCAAAATGTTTTGATTTC